ATGCATGACCCTCATTAACAGCTTCGTGCGCTCGTGCATCACGTCCATGCACTCCTCGATCCAAACCCATCCGCATACGCACTCGTACCTGTCTTTTAGGCCATGCTTGCATCGTTTTTGGCCCTATTTTTAGCCTCCTCGAGTCCTCTTGGCTCTCGACCCTTCTTGTCATAGGGGTCTGGAACCCACTTCCGTATCACACCCGTAAGCAGGTGGGCAGCCGGCGCTTGCCACATACGTCTTGTGCCGCGAGGCCCGTGTGATAGCAGCATGTGCGATGCCTTACTGCCGACCCTATCGTGCGAAGAAGACCCCCGCGACCTACAAAGCCCCGCGTCCGTCCTTTGTAGTCAACTGCTTTTTCCAAGCCTGGACCAATTTTTAATAGTTTCGAAATAACTTATAGGAAATATCCCGAACTTTAAAAATGATTTCTTTTGTAGTGGAGGCTAGTTATAGATTTCCAAAGAGTTAATTCCGAGAAATTTGTAGATTCCGAGTCAAGAGTTCCAACATCTAAGGTAGAGCAGAAAGTCTATAAGTCATGAACCTTAAGTTAGAAAATCCTTCGATTGGTAAATTTAATTTACCGAGTCAGAATTAGTTATTTATCCGAGTATCGCTTAATTAATGTAGATTCCGAGGAGTCGATCCCTCGAGTTTCTACATAAGCGACAACTCCTCTCAGTAGCAGATCTAGAGTATCCAGGTGGGAAAGTCTATCTAGTACATCATTTTGATTAAACACTGTGATATTTTTGTTTGTCGTTATTTGCATGAATTATGTGTTTCCAGTTTTCAGTTATATACTGAACGATTGATCACGTACGGTATGAACAACTATTTTTGTAGTTGTTCCCAGATCAGATATGCCGCATGCTAGCTAGTCCCTCGAGGAGCAGTACCCCGAAGGGCTAAGTAGACAACCAGTGCACCTGAGGAGCAGTACCCTGATGGTTGCTAGAATTTTCAGTTCCACCTTAGTACTGCTTTGGTTGCTAGAACTCCTTTTGAAACCATTATTTGTGTATTATATCTGCTTACAACGGTATCTTTTGATTAATTCGAATGTCCGTACTATATAGACTCCAGGTGAGCCCGTTGATTATTATTATGCTCACCCCCCACACCAACCTTTCAGGTTAAGCAGCTTGATAAGCGGCACTGGAG